CCTTTCTCTCCAACTCTCCCTGCCTCTCCCTCTCTCTGGGTAACCTGAGCGGGGCGCGAGGCAGTCATGCAGAGCGCAGCGGGGCCTGGTCAGCCTGTAATTAGCAGCTGTCAGAGAGAGGCTGAGTCCACCCGCAACCTGGGTGGCATGAGGAAAGGAGGTGGTGGTGGTGGTGGGGCGGGAGGCAGGGGAGGAGTGAGCGGCTGAGTTAGCACAGAGGCCACAACAATTGCACACGGAGCTGGACTCCTGCATCCTCTGGATGTTTGTGGGATGAAAATAGGAACAGTTTTCGAACCTCTGAGTCTCCGCTTTCTAGGGAGTAACTGCTGAGTTGTGTGGTTCTAAAAAAAAAAAACGTGAACATAAAAAACATACTTTAACGTGAATCTGCAACAAGATGAAAAAGAGCTCTCGGGAAAAAAAAAAGGTGACAACATCACCATCTCTAATTTTTGTTCATCTACACGTCTAAACAGCTTTAAAATTCTGACGTCCGCTGACTCTTATCGAGTCAACTGGGAAAAAATTATATAATATCCGAAATGGCACAAATCTAAGGTTTTCAAACTGTCAGCGAACACATTAAAAATTCAGAAAAAAGCCATTTTTAAGAGCATCAATGTTCAATTATCATAAAATAAAATACTTTTTAAAAAAATGGCAGTCTGGTTTTTAAACAAAACTCAGTTCTCCAGCGATTGGAATGATTTTTTTTTGTGAAAAAGGGAGATTCTTACAGAAAGACAAATGTCAGAGTAGGACCCCACTAATCAGGCTTTTATGAAGCCATTTGCTACAAAATAAAGTGCTTTGGAGACTGCAAAGTTTGTCACTTGAATGAATTCATGCTTGTAAAACGAAAAAGCTCTAAAAATCTGAATCTAAACCTTGTGCTTACCTCATATTGTTGCTATAACGGATGTACAGAAGTGATTAGAAGACAAAGAGTAGTTCAAATATGTAAACACGCTGCTGCTTTCCTGTTTGTGTGTGCAAATTCACAAGATCGCCGCTGTAATATAAGAAACCGCCGGCTCTTCTCTCTGTTATTAATTAAATACCGTCTTACCCTCTGGAGGGCTGACTGGAGGAGTTGTCGTAGTAATACAGCCCCTGATGTGGCTGCATGTCCACTGGCATTGGAGCTCCTCGGACCTCCTGCTCCCCTTACAGCCTGGACCTGGGCACAAAGAGACAAGGCCAACGTTAGAGAGAAGAAAGAAAAACTAAACAATCTCAACCTCCATTAAACAAAACTAAACTATACACAATTGTGGTTGAAGATTAAAAAAAAAAGAAACACGTGGGATGTTAATAACAGACCAAACCAAAGTAAAAATAACAGTTTAAGGACAAAATAAACATTAAAGCTTGAGTCAAGCTTGACAGTGCAGGGTCAAAAGACTACATCTGATGGCAAAAGTTAGGCATTATATTATGAAAGTGGCATAAAATTGGATTTTATTAGAAAAAAATTTATCCAAAGACTAAAATAAAATATCTTCATATACAGTATATATAAGGAATGAACTCGTGAAAATTGCATGTTGTTCTGTAAGTAAAACTGAACTTCTTTGGTACTGATTTACTGCAGTCGCAGAGTTCAGATTAAAGCCTGTGATACACACAGTGAGCTCTGCCATAATCTCTCCTTTCTAAACCCCGTCGTGCCTCTTCAACGCCGCTCACGGTTGCACCTTTCATGCAGGTGATGAGTGTGCACAAGGATGAAGAACGTTTGGGTTTTGCCTTAAACCTTAAAGGACAAAAGCTGAGGGATGATTGCAATAAAAACAGGAGCAGAACAAGACGGCCTTTTGTCTGCAACTAATATCGGGAGGGTATCTTTCAGCAGGATTGTATGGGTAAGGCAATGCCAGTGGAGATTTCTGAGAAACTGCTCATTACATTAAACCACATCAGTGCAGGTAGCATAAGGCTGCGATTGTGACTGTGGGTTCTGAGATGTTTCGAAACTATTACAACAAAAAAATAATAATACATGGTGTGATGCACAATTTATCCCAAATACTATTGCCACTTTGTTTCTGTAAATAAGTTTCATCCTTTTACTTTATGAATTTGTTTGGGAATTTGAGACTACACTGTAAAATACGTGACAATATTCATATTTGCCATAGCTGAAATTTGCATATATATATATAAGGTCATAAAGACACCTAGCAATCTCAGTAACTAATTATTTTCTAACTATGTCTTCAGAAGTAATTCCTTCTCTTATAACTCTTATATTTTCTCTTGAAATAGACATTTTTACTCTGCCAGCCGAAGCACAACCTGGAAATCCCTTCACGTTATGTTTGACATCCGTAGCTGTTTACATGGATATAAGTAATCAGAATAAACACCCTGGTCCAAATAGTCTGATCTGATTCAGCTTGATAAGAATAAATTTGTAACTGGAATGAGAGGGGTGGTTTGTGCCGACTGATAATCTGATCGATGTGCATGTGAACACTTAATCTGATCATGTAATTCTGGTTGTGGAAAACTGAGCTGACTGTGCGCCCTGTGTCAACCTGACGTATTGCCACCTGGCTAGATGCTAATTTGTCGGGGAAGAAAAAAACTGGTCGGTTATTAAAACATTTTAATATAAACTTTGAAAGAGCTCAAAATTATCAAAGGCCTTGATGGTTGAAAGTGTAGGAACAAGGAGGTTTTGCAACATTCATTTATTYTAACATTTGTTTATGTTCAACAGGGAAGTAGAATTTCTTCTTCTGTGTGTTTTATTCGGGAAAGTTTACAACTCCGCGCATATTCTGAATAAAAGCCTGGTGCATGTAAATGTTCGTCATAATCAGATTAATTAATTAATTTTTGCCCATATAAACAATACATTTTGATTATTGAATCCAAATATATTTAAATCTGTTCAAAGTATTTGGCGCATGTAAAGTGTAGACATTACCCTTTTGTATTTAAGGAAATTCCAGTGAGGTCATTCCAGACCTATAAAAAAAATAGAGCACTCTAGGGAAAGTGACTTGTCAGGCTAGATGATAAATTGCCAAATTTCAAGAATGTATCATTTTGAAGCATTTAAAATACAATAAATAAATAAATAAATAAATAAACCAGAAAGTACCAAAAACTAGAAGTATTCATTTTGAGAGTAATTTTGTTGGGACAGATCATGTATATGTATCAATATCTGTATTTTTCTTTTTTTTTTTTTTTTTGGTTGAATTGAGTTTTCTGAGTTGCAACCTTCCAATGCATTTAAGAGCAAAGCATCCCGTCATGTGACAAAGACCCAACACAAACTGAGACAACTCAGGACAACAACTCAACGGACTGAGTGCCACGGCTTCCCCGGCCTGTTCACCAAGCAGCCCGGGTGTTAAAAGGGCAGCGGGGACCTATTTAAGCCCACAAGTCACCACGGGGAGATTTGCTCCGAAGGCTCGCGAGTGTCTAAATTACGTGTGCGGTCCGGGGGCTGGGGGGGCTGCTTGCTCACGTCCAACACGGCCTTTGGATGTGTGCTTGATAATTAGCAGCAAGTGCTAAATCGAGATCTCGCCGAGCACCTCAGCTGTCCAGAACCAATAAATACCAAGAAGGGGGACCCCCAAGCCTGCAGCGCTCACACACACACACACACTGTCACAGCTGTTAGTCTCGAAGGGAGGTAGCATAATGATCCAGTAGCCACCAAGCCTACAGTGGATGTGTGTGAAGAAGTGTGTGGCAGTGTAAAGCAGTTTGTACAAGAACAGTAGCAGATGTGTGTGAGAACATTTTGGGCAAACACATTTGCAGTAGTAAATTTCTGTGTGTGTTTGTGTGTGTGTGTGTGCTGGATAAATGAAGATCTCAGGAAAAAGACTGAATAATGTATGAGCCCACCTGCACATAAGTAAGCTGCCTTTTTTTTATCTGTTTGCTAATATGTCCTCTGGGAGTGAGGCAGCAAGTGTGACAGAGTTACAGTTGTAGCTCTGTGCACACTAAGAGTAATTAGTTTGCATGAAACAGTGCAGAAAAAGCAAACAGAATATGTTCAGAGTCTAAGCAGCCCTTTCTAAAAGAAATCCTGTTTCTGAAAAGATACTGTTAGACATTAAAGACCTGATAAATAGGGGTGTCTCGATCCGAAATTGATATCGGATATCGGTCCGATATCAGCCAAAAAATGAGTATCGGATTTTATCGGCCTGCATAAAAAATGTCCGATATAAGCGCTCCGATATAAGCAGTTCAATCCAGCAGTTCACTGACTCCACTCCAGTGTTTCTATCCAGCAGCGCTTGGATCCAGCATGCAGAGCTCACGTGATCACAACAACGTGCTGCGCTAACAATTTAGCAAGAATGTCGGCAGAACTTTCTATTTTCATCAGAAACAGAGTTGCAGCTGCTGTAAGTGCAAAGTTGTCGCACAAGTTTTCTGAGGGGGAACAGAACCATGAACGTTTTAAACCGGAGCGACAACTACTCTCCACCCTGGCAGCAGCTTTGCATTTCGGCTTGGTTCGGCCTCGGTCCAGTGACCGCACACAGCCGCGCTGTTTCAGAACCTCCTCTCTGGTCCGGTCGGTGGTTCTAAGCTGGCAGAAGCGAGGACAGCACGCTTACAGTTTTGACATCCCGTGGATTAGCTCTTGATGGACAGAAGAAAGGAGAGCGCAGGTTTTGTTTTGGAATATGAGCGACATGACGAGAGCAGTGATAAAAACTGCTCCCTGCAGGAGCGAGAGGCTAATCTCCACACGATGCTCAGAAAATGCAGCAGTAAGAAAGGTAGCTATCAATTTAAATAACTGACTAACTCTTCCTATTTATTTTTTGCTCTTGTTATTAGAGTGATGTTTAATCTGTTTACACATTTGTTTGAGTGAAGATTAAGTGCAATGATCACGTTGTTTTAGTTACAGTCAGTAAAATTGTAGCTGTGGTCTCTTAACTTTGAACAGACAGTAATGTGGGGTTTTGTTTTGTCCCCACCTTCAGTTTTTTCCACCATAAAGCAGCACCAGGCTGACAGGTAGTAAAACAATAACCAAAGTGATTTTGAATTATTTTATACTTTAAAATAACATTTTGTTTTTATTATGTTTTATTTTTCAGGGTATTATAATTTATTTTATTAAATTGTAGAATGYTCTTCAGTTTAAAATGTATGTGATCCATTGGTTAAAAATAAATGGGTCASTTTTTCTCATTCCTACTCTTTTTCACTGTTTGACCTGATCAAGACTTTTCTAAGATTTTACATTACAAAATAGGTAAAAGTGTGTGACTTGTACTGTTATGGTAACGGATCAATATCGGACAATTCTCAAAGCTGTAATATCGGTATCGTATCGGAAGTGAAAAAGTGGTATCGGGACATCCCTACTGATAAATAAACTCAAAATTGATAATGTAGCATGTACATATCACACAGTGTTGCCACAGGTGACGTAAAGTGCTATTTTAGGTCAGTGTTTTGCCCCTTGGTGTAATTTTGTGGTGCTGGGGGAAATTGGGAAGCAGTACATTTAAAAAAAAAACCCAAGTCCATAAATCAAATGGCTGACCAAACAAATCCGCTCTGCTGTGGCATAGCGAGCCGGGGCAGAAAAACCAAGGAGCTGAGGATGAGGACAGGACATCCAGCCACCTTCTGCACCCAAAACCTCCTCATTCAAACACGTAAGCGACCGTGCAACATCCCACACAGCCTTCCACATCTCCCTCAGGAACAGCTTTTAAAGCACGTGTTAGAACGTAACCAAGAATGGCTTCATCATCTGAGCTTTACCTCAACTACAACTTATTTATGAGCTACCAGACTGTGGAAAAGACTAATAAATGTGAAGGAAAGCTTACACACCAAACCAGCTCAAATTATCACCAATAAATAAAAAAAATTGCAATATAATTTTTTCCCTTTTCTCTTACTCTTTGACAACAACAGCACTACAAATATCCACAATTCTGAAGGTGACAGAAAGTGTTACAGAAGATTTTACTTCAGTTTTGATTGAAGTCAAACATTTTTCTCCTTTTTTTCTACTTGACTGAGGGCTTTTTGCTGCTAGCTTGTTTATTTGGGAATACCTCACTGCATCTATTTGTTGTTTCAGTGCTTCAAAATCCCAGATAGTCATCAACTCCCTCAGATCCTGCCAACACTTTATAAACCATATGCATTTCATGACCACTGCCC